TAATCGAATTATATTTAAATTAAATCAATTAGTTATCTTTTATTAAATGGCGAACATAAAATATTTTATTCTTGTCTTATCGATTAATGTAAGGGCTAACCTTTTATTTCAATACTAATGCAGACTCATTAATTCACTGTCGCGCCTAATCGAAAACAAAAATCTATTTATAACTCTTTATTATTAGTTTCTTACCTCAAATATGTTTCAGTTACATGATTATTCTAATTCTCACAGTCTTGTTGGCGATTCGCAATCGCCAAAGTATTTTGAAACCTAATATTGATTATGGAGAGTTGGCATTATTTTGGCTATGTTATATTTCGATAATTCGCCAACGTAGGAAATCTTCTACATGCTTCTGTTGTCCGCTAGAAAAAAATCATTCCCTTCCAATTTGAAATTTTGTGGAGACTGGGGGTGCCCTTTTGGGCCTCTCAGTCCCAACCATTGAATATCAATCTCAACTGACATTCAGGCCAACAAGACTCTCCATGTAAGAGAATATTTCATTTTGATCCCTTTCTTTTCTGTATCATGCTTATATTTTTGAATTATGGCCATTTTCAGTTATCATTAAATCAATTTTTCTCGATCGATTCTATTTATTTTTCTGAGACAACTAACATTTTATTACATCAAAATTAAGATGTACACCTTAATTTTGATTAAGATGTACATCTTAATTTTGTACATGTTACGGCAAAAAAGTAAATAAGGTTAGCCCAACTACCACTAATATATTAATAATGGCGATCAACGTCATCATAATACATTATTTTTTAATGGTTTATTTTTAAGCATTTTTCTCCACATGGACTTGCATTTTAACATTATTTGTGAGATTTCAACACTCATTTACTATATTATGTTTTAAAATAAATATTCCACTTGCATTTAAATCTAAAGCAAAAGAATATAAATAATAAAATATAGTTTACCAATGCTTTTAATTATTTAATTAAATATATAAATATCTCAACATATCTTACTTTGATATTTTAAACTTTAATATCGAGTTATACATTGCTTCTGAAGGATTTATTTTGATGACTATATATTCATATTGCTAAGTAATAGTTAATTAGATTATTTAGATCAAATAGTATTAAATCTACTCATTAGTTATGCTATTCAAATACAATTAAGCATTAGGATAAATATTGAATTGGCAATTGAAAATGCACAATCTTTGAATTCTTACATTACTAAGTTATTATGCATGTTCATATAAATGTTATAGGAAGTAACTTCGCCATGCAAATCCTTCAATTTCTTAACAGAATTGAGAGTATAATAATTTGGATTTTTTTTTTTTTTTTTTTTAAATCTTAGATGCACTAGAAGTATTTTTTTATGATTCCTTTCAAAATCTCTTTGTGTTACTCTTGAACAATGAAACATTAAACGTAAGAGATAATATTAACACTAAACTCACATTTCATTCATAAAACAGTCATTTCACATTAAAATTAAAAGCCGTTGCACAAACCAGTAATGATTAATAAGCACTAAAAAATTTTTTGAAAGCCAATTTTCGAAGAAATTATAAAATCCATAATATTCAGTCATTCAGCAGCACTAAAATATGGAAAAATTATTAGCCTAAGCAATTCAAAAATACGAACAATCCTTCTCCAAAAATACGTAATCGGAAGTTTTATATTTAATATTTTTGTGCTTTTGAGCATTATATCATTTTTAGACTTTTAGCCAATATCTAAAACACTAAGCATCAGACTTGAGTTAAGCTGATAAAACTGTATGGGGTGGGGCTAGGATTCAAAGTCTCATGGCTTAAGCTGGCTCTGTCCATTTACCGTGTTCACGATTTTATCTATAGTCAGAATTTTCGATCTTAAGATTTAAGAAAAACCTCATATTCAGAAAAATATATCTGATTTGATTTGCTGGTAAAATGGGTAATATTAGATAGTTGTATCAAATCAAATATGCTTTTTTTTAAGTGTGGGTCTTTCCTGATATTTACAGAAATAAGAAGTTAAAAAACCTCTTTGATTGCTGTAGGGAACTGACCAAAGGTGAAAAATGATTACTGGAAGTTTTTAACCCGTCTTCATCAATGGTGTTTTTTAGATTTTCAGTTTTATAATTTTTTTCCATCTTAAACATTAATTTGTCTCTTCTAATGTACATATTTAATTTAATTTTTTAAAAACTATAAAAATATATACTCGGGTTGGTAATTACGGAACACTTTGGAGAGTTTTTAAGAAATAAGATTTAGTCATAAATTAGTAAATGTTTAACTAATTATGACAACATTATTCAGAAACGGGAATTATATGTTTTACGTAAATTATACGTCGAAAACATTAACATGTGTTGAAACATAATTAACTAATTGAAAATTTGGTAACAACCCTTTGATTATAAAATAATTCAAATCAGCATTTAGTTAACTAATGTTTATTTACAATTAATAAGAAGTATATAATTTGATATTTTTTTATTCCCTTAGAAAAATAAAGCTATGTTTATCCAAGAAAGAACTTCCTATTACAGTATATTTTATGACAATACGGTATAATGTTACTAGATTTTTACCAAAACCAATAACTTTTATGACTAACAAAAAAAGAAAAAGAAATAACTTGGTATTCTTACAAGGGATAACTTTTGATCACATCGGGTTATAAAAATTCCATCCGAATTGTGTGATATAACACAATTTCTACTAAAGAAAAACTGACAAGCACTTATTTTTCTTTCATTCGGTAGTGGAAGCTTTATAATACTATCATTTTTTCGTTGTTAACGAAATCCTTTATTTTATTTTTTTCTTAAATTCCTTTTTAATTTAAAGTTTACGCGAGAGCTTTCATCATTATCCATTACATTTATACAATATAAATAATTTGGTAACTTTAAACCGGGATCATTTTCCCATTTTTCCATGGGAAAAATATTTTCAATTTTGTGCCTTAATACTATACTTTTTATTTTGATATAAGTAAACGACTTTAGTTAGCTTTAAGAATTTTTTTCGAAGCATTTTCAGAAAAAGAAATTACTTGTTATTTATTACATTTAATTACATTTTCAATTAGAAAATCTCTAGGCCTTCAGTTATACTCATAGACTTTGATTCGAGTTAGAATGTAGTTGCTTTTTCTATTTAATAACCGTTTATTAAAAAAAAAGAAACAAATTATAATATATATTAATAAGAGAAATATTGCACATTAAAAATAAGGAGAACTACGAATTCTTGGTTTCGAATTTTTGGACACTGAAAAAAAGACGATAAAAAAAATAGCGGATGACACTCACAAGAAACCTACACAGAATTACACATGAAAACCATAAAGAAAGGCAACGTAAAGAAATTTAATAAAACGCGTGGTTTGTCAGCTGCTTTATTATTTTATTGTATTTTTCATCAGATCAATTAGCAGTTTTTTCTTATGATTCTAGTACTGCCACAGCTTTGTATGACTATTAACGTCGCAGTAAAAAAATAATTTATTTTTGACCCTTTGCTTGCCGAGCCAATTCTTCAGCTTACAACTACCAATGTTCAACTTCATAGCCTTGTAATTTTAAACTTGACCCAGTAGACAAGGGAACTCCTGGACCCAGTATTGAAAGAAACTATAGCCCTCGTGGAGGAATTTTCGATGAAACTAACCCACATTTGCATTACATGGGAAGAAAACCCCTAAAACTTCTCATTGGTTAGCCCTATAACGAAGGGACTCTACTCCGTGAACTGTCAACCATGTGATGCGAACTTGGAGCACTTCAATAGGAGGCGAGTGTTCTATCCCCTGTGCCATCACGAATCTTTACTAAGCTATTTGCGATTATCCAGAAAACATCTCTGAAGAAAATTCGGAAACGTACCATCACGAATTTAGTCCCCTACGGAGCGGCTGGTTCCACCGTTTTGGTAGCTATTACTATTATATTAAAACTATTACTGCGACTTGCTCTTAGGGCTTCCGTGATCAAAAAGTATCGCCCTTCCACAAAACACTCAGAAGCGCAAAGGTAGTGGGTTTAAATCCCGCAATTATGATATATGCCATTTTGCCTCCCCCCTATAGAAACTCTTGAACTTAAGAACCTTTACCAATTTCTTATAACCGATAGCTAAAAATAGGGTCAGTTGACTCATGCAGTTAAGGTTTCGGTGAGATTTGAACCTACGACAATCACACTTCATATCCTTAGGAGGAAGAACAATCTTTTTGGATAAGTTGCTCTCTTTTGCATTGTAGTAGTAGTTCTTTTTTCACGTCACACTAGAACTGCGCAATCGACGACTGTCTGGGAAACATTCCTGAGGATGATCGAAAGACATGCCATCACAATTCTGATCCTCTGCTGAGGTGATGTCTCCTCCGTTTTGATATCCCGACTACTTGCGCACGAAGTCAAACACTTTTTGATAGAACATTTCTACAAGAAAGTTGTTGTTGTTGTTAATTTACGTCGCACTAGAGCTGCACAATGGGCTATTGGCGACGGTCTGGGAAACATCCCGGAGGATGATCCGAAGACATGCCATCACAATTTTGATCCTCTGCAGAGGGGATGGCACCCCCGCTTCGGTAGCCCGACGACCTGCACGCGAAGTCGAGCACTTTACGGTAGAACAGTTTAACGAGGACCAATACAGCACACCCTCGGTCCCTACGCAGACTGATCCAAGTGGTAACCCACCCGCACACTGACCGCAGCCAGTGATGCTTGACTTCGGTGATCTGCTGGGAACCGTGTCTTAACGATCAGTCCACTGCGGGACTCTACAAGAAAGACTGGAAGGAAAGTGGTCTTACTGATCACTGACAGTGCATGACTTCGGTGATCTACTGAGAGTTGTATCTTTTGATCAGTTCCCTGTGCGATCCAGACCCGCAGTGGACTAGTCGTAAAGACACGGTTACCAGTAGAACACCGCGGTCAAGCATCACTAGATGCAGTCAGTAAACGAATGGATGACCACTTTGATCAGCCTGAGTTGGAACCGAGGGTGCATTGTATCTGTCCTAGTTAAACTGTTCTACTGTAAAGTGCTTGATTTCGTGCCAGGGTCATCTTGCTACCAAAGCAGGGTAGCCATCTCCTCTACTGAGGATGTTACCTAGACCGTCGTCAATAGCCCATGGTGCAGCTCTAGTGTGACGTAAATAAAATACCTACCTACTGATCCTGTGGGACCGTTTGTCTTTGAGTACACAAGTCTGTTTATCTGCGAATATAAAGAAATAACTCGTTGCACTTACCTCATGCTTGAGTGCTTAAATTACATTAAAGACTAAATTCTTCATGGTAAGATGAACTTTTTTTTAATCACTTCGAGCATTAATTATGGAATTATAGCCACTCTTGGTGCTTTTATCAGATATGATTGAATTCAATATTTGATTAGCTTGCCATTTGGTGAGCTACGTGTTTTTTAAAGTCAATCTATGCGAAAACTAATAGTTTTAATGATATTGTCTACATTATTTTGCTAGGCCGTATTTAAAATTTTTGATTTAAAGGTAAAGTACTCACTAAGTAATATTTACAAATATTTACCCTAAATCTGACAAACTAAAGTTTCAATTGAATATTTTTAACTTTACTTTCCGATAGNCCACGGACAATGCGACGGATTTAAGGTTATGTCAAGGTACGTCTCTTGTGAATATCAATTGATTGTTTCTCTTCTAAAATTACATTATCACGCATTCACATACATTATTAATACAAATACATTTTCCAGGGCGAGACGATGAGGCAACCTCAAGCACTGGTTCAAGAGGTCCACGAGGGAAAAATGCACAATGTTACTGTTATTACAGAGCACGGAAGCGAGCAGAGCAGGAAAAAGAGTCTTTGAATAGAACTAGTGATCCTTCTACGACTGCTGATTCTTCTACAATTAACGTCGCAGGTTACGAAGTTTAAATTCTTCCGCGCGGAGGGACTCCACGCACATTTTTTTTTCTTATGATTCAGCTACTGCCTCAGTTTTGTATGACTATTAACATCGCGGTAGATAAATAATTTACTTTTGACCCTTTGCAATAGCTTATATCGAGCTCTTGCGTGTCCTTTTAAGGTAAGGTCCCAAAACGTTCTTAGCGACTTGAATTTGCGAACTTTTCTGCCGCAAACTGGCGTCTTAATCTCTCGGTTTCTTATGTTTACACTTTATTGAAGTAAGTAGTTGTAATAGTTATAACCGGCATTGAACAGCCGAGCCAATTCTTCAGCTTACAACTATCAATGTTCAACTTCATAGCCTTGTAATTTTAAACATGACCCAGTAGACAAGGGAACTCCTGGATTCAGTATTGAACGAAACTATAGCTTTCGTGGAGGAATTTTTGACGAAACTAACCCACATTTGCATTACATTGAAAGAAAACCTCTAAAACTTCTCATGGTTAGCCCGATAGCAAGAGGACTCTACTCCATGAACCGTCAACCACTCTGATAATTTACGACAGCAGTGTGATCAGTGCGAGCTAGGTGAAGAATTCATCTCGACCATCCATCATTGTGATATGAGCTTGAAGCACCTCAATGAGAGGCGAAAGTTCTATCCCCTGAGCCATCACGGCTCTTGACTAAGGTATTTGCGATAGTCCAGAAAACATCTCTGAAGAAAATTCGTAAACGTAGCATTACGAATTTGATTCCGTACAGAGCGGATAGTTCCCCCGTTTTGGTAGCTATTACTGTTATACTAAAATTATTACTACGATTTTCTATTAAGGCTTCTGTGATCAAAAAATATCGACAAAAGTATACAAACCATATAAAACACTCAGAAGTTGTTGTTGTTGTTGTTAATTTACGTCGCACTAGAGCTGCACAATGGGCTATTGTCGACGGTCTGGGAAACATTCCTGAGGATGATTCGAAGACACACCATCACAATTTTGATCCTCTGCGGAGGGGATGGCACCCCCGCTTCGGTAGCCCGACGACCTGCACGCGAAGTCGAGCACTTTACGGTAGAACAATTTAACGAGGACCAATACCGCACACCCTCGGTCCCTACGCAGGCTGATCCAAGTGGTCACCCACCCGCACACTGACCGCAGCCAGTGATGCTTGACTTCGGTGATGTGCTGGGAACCGTGTCTTAACGATCAGTCCACTGCGGGACTCAGAAGTATAAAGGTAATGGGTTTGAAACCCAAAATAATGTCATATGCCATTTTGCCTCCCCCCTATAAAAACTCTTGAACTTAGAAACCTTAACTAATTTATTACAAAACTAAAAATAGGGTCAGTTGACTCATGCAGTCAAGGTTTCGTTGGGATTTGAACCTACGACATCCACACTTCATATTATCAGGTGGAAGAACAATATCTCTTTGGCTACCTTTCTCCTTCTTTTTTTTTTTTTTTTTTTTTTTTTTTTTTTTTTTTTTTTTTTTTTTTTTTTTNTTTTTTCTTTTGTTTTTTTTTTCTTTTGCATAGTAGTAGTAGTTTGTTCACGCCTCACTAGAACTGCGGAATCGTTGAACGTCTGGGAAACATTCCTGAGGATGATCGAAAGACATGCCATCATAATTCTGATCCTGTGCTGAAGTGATGGCTCCTCCGTTTTAATATCCCTACTACTTGCTCGCGAAGTCGAACACTTTTTGATAGAACATTTTCACAAGGACGACAGGAAGGAAAGTAGTTTTACTGATCGCTGTCAGTGATTAACTTCAGTGATCTACTGGGAGCTGTATCTTATGATCAATTCCCTGTGGGATCCTGTCCCACGGTGGACTGGTGGTAAAGACACTGTTCCCAGAAGAACATCGCAGTCGAGCATCACTGGATGCTGTCAGTGAGAGGGTGGGTGACCACTTTGATCAGCCTGCGTAGGGACCGCGGGTGCATTGTATATGTCCTCGTTAAACTGTGCTTGATTTCGTGCCAGGGACATCTTGCTACCAAAGTAGGGTAGCCATCCCCTCTGCAGAGGATGTTACCTAAACCGTCGTCAATAGCCCATTGTGCAGCTCTAGTGTGACGTAAATAAAATACCTACCTACCGATCCTGTGGGACCCTTTGTGTGCTAAGCACCACCTCTTCCCCCCATCTCCATTCCACCTCACTACTCCTCATCATCGAATTACTACTACAGATGAATCGGTTAATGCCGCTTCGCGGCAGCGCACCGAGATTTATATGATTTCTACCATTCTACCATTCTGGGACCCTCTGTCTTTGAGTACACAAGTCTGTTTATCTGCGAATATAAAGAAATAACTGGTTGCACTTACCTCATGCTTTAACTTGGGTGCTTAAATTACATTAAAGAATAAATATCATGGTAAGATTAACTTTTTTTTAATCTCTTCGAGCATTAATTATGGAATTATAGCCACTCTTGGTGCTTTTATCAGATATGATTGAATTCAATATTTGATTAGCTTGCCATTTGGTGAGCTACGTGTTTTTTAAAGTCAATCTATGCGAAAACTAATAGTTTTAATGATATTGTCTACATTATTTTGCTAGGCCGTATTTAAAATTTTTGATTTAAAGGTAAAGTACTCACTAAGTAATATTTACAAATATTTACCCTAAATCTGACAAACTAAAGTTTCAATTGAATATTTTTAACTTTACTTTCCGATAGCTTCTTTTAGATGATATATTAAGTTATTTAATCAAGTAAGCTTGAAATCAAGTAATTTAATCAAGTAAATCTCAGTGCTGCATTTCAGAGATTTGCCTGAAAGAAGTTATATCCTTTCACCCTATTTATAAAAAGTTTTCAGATTTTTATGGTAAGATGTGACAATTTTTCATAGCCCAGGACTATCCATTTAACAACACATGTTATCTTGGAGAAATGACTGTCAGCAAAAATAGTGACTTATAGGTTAAATGTTTGAGCAAACGAACGCTCCAGTATTTTTTCTTCCATAAATATATTTTTTTAATTACACATAAACTTCTTATGAAATCTGAATTTATTTTGAAGATTTTTCAAGACCTCGAGAAAGATCCTCAGTACTGTCTCGAAAAAAGTAGGAAGTTATTTCTAACTTCCTACTTTTAATTTTTACTTTAATTTATTTTTTATTAATTTATTTCTTAATTTTTTCTAACTTCCTACTTTAAAATTTTTTTTCTACTTTAATTTATTTTTCTACTTTAATTTATTTTTCTACTTTAATTTATTTTTTATTAATTTATNCTCTGTACTGTCTCGAAAAAAGTAGGAAGTTATTTCTAACTTCCTACTTTTAATTTTTACTTTAATTTACTTTTTATTAATTTATTTCTTAATTTTTTCTAACTTCCTACTTTAAAATTTTTTCTCTACTTTAATTTATTTTTTATTAATTTATTTTTTAATTTTTTCTAACTTCCTACTTTTAGAGAAAAAATTTACTACTTGGGAAAAAAAATTATTCAACATTAAAAAAATCTATCAAATAAAAAAATATACAGTTATCAAAATTTTAGGTTTTTGTCCGATTTTCAAAAGAATGGCTCTTAATATAGATCGTTGATAATTGACTGAATTTCTCTAAATTGATATGACAATTACTAATCAGTTCAGAAATTGGATTTCATAAATTGTTAATCTAAAGTTCATCATTTTTCTAGTATACACAATCAATAAAAATAATGTCAATAAAAAAAAATTTTCTGTGTAACTTTTGATGTCAATGAAAGTATTTTCTTAATCATAATATAATTAATATAGCTTAAATTCAAATGCTAATACTCTATCTACAAATTTTTTTATAAAAAGTTTCAACATTTCAACATTTTAAATTGCAATTTATTTCCGAATCAAATTATAGGAATTTATAATTTTTTCAGACCTTTATATTCAGAAGCTTAAAAAAATTATCACGGGGAAAAGTCTTGTAAGTTTTAGTGATATTTGAAATTCCTACACAAAAAAAATAATAATATTAAAACTAAATCTCATTTTGCTATATTTGAGAAACCCTTAACTTTTCACATTTCAGAAGTATTATCCGCTTATGGAAATTTAATTGGAAGATTAAATAATAAGAATTCAATATTTTCAAATATTGTAATCAGATCAAGGTTTTGATAATCACAATAATGCAGAATAGCTGAGAAGATGCAGCATTTTAGGCACCTCATTTAAATTATGAACTTTAAAACGTGATGTTTAATAATGTGAAACTTAGGAAATTTTCGAAAACAAATACTATCTGTTTTAGAAAATAAAATACTTTAATATTATATGGCAAAAGTAATTGTCACAAATATTCACAGGATGAAGAAAATGCACTTCACGTATTCAAATATTTGAAATTCTGAATATTTTATTATCCAT